TTGGTAAGCTGTTTCAGTTGCGTAATTGCTATTGAATTATCAATTATATGTTCGCATATATGTCGAGATATTCTGTTTTCATTTGGCATAAAGTATCCCGAATATTGTCAGCAAATAACTGTCAAAATTGCAAATGTATTTGATAATGGAAATTATGTTTCACGATTCGTAGTGTGAGTCGAGCAAAGCGCAGCTGTGTGATGTCCTAGTTATGAAACGAGGTGTGCATTTAAAGAGAGCAGCTCTTGGTCAATCTATATTCTGTACAAAGAAATGTGAATTCGATAAACTTGTAGATGTTATTCATATGAAATGCAGTAGCACGTGAGTCCATCCTAAATCAAATTATATAACATTAACTAATGTTTTAATCCCCAGATAGTATTTAGATTTTATTTATTTGCTTGCATTACACACAACCACTGGTATTCAAAATGATGGCATAAATCCTGCTGGGAAATCATTCAAGAATCAGAAGTCCACATAATTCCCAGTGAGGTGGAATAACTTTGGTTGCTAGTGGTTTTTAGCTTAGTTTTAATTCATTAATATATACGGTTTGGACCTGGATTAGATCAGGATTATGTCAACTCCATCAACAGTTTCTGGACAGTCCTTCTATTAGTCGTGTGGTCTGTGGGACCATTTGAGATGCGTTACATAACTACACCCATCAGTTTTGGTGCCCAGTTTTAAGCCTAGTTATGATTCATTCATTTTTTTGTCAACAATATCTAACTTCTTCTCATCGCGATATGGATGCAATACTGTCGATGTGATGCAAAATTTAAGTCACCCATTAACAAATACGATACATAGGAAATATATGCTGGAGTCAAAAAAGAAACTTCACATTCTTTCTTCAGGGCACTATAAAAGAACGAGAGATGGTAAGATGGTTAAATTGTTATTATTTCATTGCTGAGATCTGTGTGATGTGCTCAATACACTGACAGTGCCATAATCAGTTCCATTAGGCTACACCGCCGTTCCAAAACATTGGTATACAGAATGTATCAAGTAATGATAAATCCCGTTTCTCGCCTTCTCACCTTTTTCTTAAAATAGCCACAATGACAAGGTCAAGAATACGTATTTTGTAGTTTGATACTGTAACTTCTGCTTCGCTTTCCTATTATATTGTTGTCTGATGGCATTTTAAGTGTTGAACAATAAACACATACATACGCTTGTCAGGGTGCTATGCAGATCCAGTGTTGCACCTGAAGAGCCGTTGCACGGCGAACGATCTTGTGCAGATATAAAGGAGATTTGACAAGAAGAAATATTTGGACTCATATTTTATATATTTATTGCTTATGCACCTGCAGAAATCACTTGTTTATATATATATATATATATATAAGAATATATATTTCTTATGTGTACATGTGTAGAAATATTTAGATGGAGTATTCTTACCCACGATTCTTAAAAATATTTACAATAATATTACAGAATGAAGCAAGTTTTCTAAAATAGCTTCTTATTGATATTGAGTAATGTATACATGTTATGAAAATTTGGTATGGTATAAAAATATGGCTTTAAATATACTGAGTCAAAAAAGAAAAAGCGCCAAGTTCCTGCAAATTCTGAGGTTGGTTCCTAAGACCACGAAGACTTCTCCCAAATGCATCCCAAACGTGCTCTATTAGATTAAGGTCAGGGGAGCTCGATGGCCAGTCCATGACGTTGATTCCAGCGTTTTGAAGGAAGTTTCATGTCAACATCGCGGTATACGGCCGAGCATTATCATGCTGGAACTGTAGACCTGGGCCATGAGCCGCCATGAAAGGAACGAGTTCAGGGGTGAGCACCTGGTCGCGGTAAGCAGCAGCTGTGAGGTTTCCACGGATGACCAGAGGTCTTCCTGTACACAACATTGGGCATACCGTTCACGACGTCGTCTCCGTCCGCGAATCTGAGGGTAAACCTGGATTCATCGCTAAAGACGACTCGATTCTCTGGGTCCATCGGAGGTAACGTTGGGCCCACAGCAGACGATTGACGTTGATGAAACGGCATCAATATTGGCCCACGATATGGACATCGAGAATGGAGATTGGCAGCCCGCAAACGATTTCGAATGGTCTATGAGGACAGTCGACCTCTAAACATCTCAGCCCTGGTTCGTGTAGCCGGCAGAAATCTGTCACGTAGGTGACGTAGGGCGATTTGACGGTCTTCTGCTCGTGACGTCACACGTGGACGACCCGACCTTGGGCGATCAGAAGAGGTGCCAGTTTGACGACCTCGCAAGTCATACACAGTACGACGGCTGCAACCCATTGCTCTTGCAACTGTGGTTTAAAGTGTTTTTTCAATTCTTGAGGCCAATGCAAACACGTGCAATGAAGAAAACTTCGATGCGAAGATCACGTGATCGACTGCACGTGCAAAACCTGATTTGGCACTAACGTCATTTGCACGACGAATGGATGGGTTTGAGTGGGTTTTGCTAACGTTTTTCTAGAGTCGAAAGATAGGGATCCCATTTCGGATACATAGATGTATCATCAGAGAAAAATTATTAATTATTTTTCAAATTACATTTTTGAAATCAATGGCGCAATAGGTGCGAACCTTTCTTACTTGACTGAGCAATGCTGTTTTTGTTTTGTTTTAGACAACAATGGCAGGATTGAGAGCATGGTTTGGACGTGGATTAGATCAGGATTATGTCGACTCCATCAACAGTTTCTGGACAGTCCTTCTATTGGCCGTGTGTTCTGTGGGATCATTCGCCATGCGTTTCATCACTACACCCATCAGTTGTTGGTGCCCTGCTCAATTCGAACAGTCTCAGTACTCGTACACACAGGAATCGTGTTTTCTGAAGGGCTTGTATTATATGAAGTCAATGCCTGATGATAATGACGATGAAAGACCGGAACCTGTACCTTCCTACCACCTCTGGATACCACTCATACTCTTCTTCCAAGCCCTGGCTTTCAAACTACCCAACATCATCTGGAACAGCAGCAAGCACTTGCTTACTTTTAATATGGAAGAAACCATGGAGTCCTTGAAAAGTGTACAATTGACCAATGCCGAGAATAGCCAGGTCATGTTCAGTGATGCAGCCCGAGTATTTGGAAGTCTGTTGAGAAGAAACCGAATCATTTTGGCTCTTCTGTATCTATTTGTGAAACTTCTCTCCTGTAGTCCAATCTGATAGCCCAGTTTGTGTTCCTAACAATATACTTCCAGACAATACCTGGCAATCAGGGTTGGATCCTATGCAGGTTTTGATATGGACTTCATTATAAAACCTTTGCTTGTAAAGATGGTTACTGCAATTTTCTAATTCACCGGATGACGACAACCCACGATTATACAGTTCAGTGTACTCTACCAATCACCAGAAATCTATGAGAAGATGTTCACCTTCCTGTGGTACTGGATCTTCCTCCTGGCTGCCATCACCATCCTTAACCTTGTCCCAGTGGGCAGGATTTCTCTTCCTTCCATTCCTAAGAGATGGCAGGATAGCTGCCCATGTCAACGCTGCCAAAGGAACTCGCCCTGATGAACGCTCTATAACTCGATTCATCAGCACTTTCCTTGGAATAGATGGAGTACTTGTCTTGTCCATGATCTCCTTGAATTCCAGTGAGCTGGTTTCAGCGAAGCTGACCCAATATATGTTCCAAGTGTTTCGGGAAAAGGAAGAAGAATTTCAAAATGCACGAGAAATCTACACAGGAGAGCCTGGAGGTGGAGCTGGAGCCACGGGGAACAGAAGCGGCATTACCAATGACTGATCTCGCCTCTGGTACCCCTAATATGGAGAAAGTGCCCGATTAATGTGATGACCTATACACTGGATTTGTTTTACTCCAGCTAGTATAATTTCAGTCAACTACTTATTTATCTAAAAGGTCTCAAAGGGCAAGAGTCTTTGTGGATGATAATTTGGAACATTTTGAAGCGGAGGCATCATTTCCATAACATTGGGAACATCGTCGGCAAACACTTTCGTTACACTGACAGGCTACTCTATTTACTTTGGTTAGCATTTTAGTTGTAACTGGGTAGCGGTGTTATCTTACTTTAAAATATACATGATAAACTCACAACCTCTTGTTAGTACTTTATTGATGCATACATCATGTCGTGTTGCGTATGAACGTGGAGGAAGTAAGTGGGGTTGGGCTGAGGCATGTGGTTTTGCATATTAATCACTGGAACTCACACACGAGATGTTAATAAAATCAAGATTCTGGGTGAGGTTTGCATTGAGACAAACATTTTCATATGGTTTAATTATTTTAAACAGCACGCAAAAGTACTTTTATATTTACTACGCCGAAAAAGTAGGAGACATTGAGAGTCATCAAGACAAACCTTCTGAACCACCTGGTTGTGGCGAAAGGAAATCTTAGGATCAAATTTGTTCTAATGGTCGGTGTGATGAGAGTGTGGCGTACAATGGCTCTGAAAAGGTCGGTGGTCAAGTTACTTTGAAGCAAACGTCACTGATATAGGGTGATACTACCTCTGTTGGGTATCCATGCACAAGGCATGATTCTGATGAGTCGACCAGTGACAGCTTGGCTCATATTGTTCCCTGGTCATTGAGAGCCGCACTCCTGTTCATTGAGAGTAGTGGAGTTGATTTTGACGTTCATCTACACGTCTATAGCGGCCAGAACTTTGGGATACGACCAGAACAAGGATAAACAGCCCACAATTTCGTAAAACCCTATCTACTGAGACACTTGCCCCGGTCAACTTCAAGACTTTTTGGGGATTTTTGTACATGTTTTTTCGCGGGGTAACACAGAATTAGATTTATCATATACATATTGTTTTGCGAATATTTACCCTCTCTGTTTGGAAACACCTTCAGAATTTCTAATTATTTTTGTACTTGTCAATTATTCACTTGTTCTTATTGTGTGGCAATCCCCACTCACAGCAAGACTCTCGTGATTTTCATAAAAAAGTGTTATTTTAAAATGCAAACATAATGTAATCCGGTATTGTTTGAAAGGGAAAATCTTAAATGGAAATCTGTTTCTGCATCACTTAAAAATACAGAATCGTTCATATTAATTAAAATCGTTCAAGCACTAATTTATGTTTCTTAAATTATGCTGATTCTTTAACTACATTGTAATAAGCTTTGTAACTGTAAACAAGTTTCCGTATTCAGATGTTCGGGGCCGAATTTGCTGCATTTCAGACTAAAAGGCAAAAGACATTGGGTATAGCATATATATCGCTCAGAACGAATGAAGTGAGAGTCTGCATATCATGTAATCAGGGCGATAGAAGGGAAAGGATATATATCGCAAGTGTTATATGTCACTCAGATCGATTTTTGACAGGAGGGGTATTGGATATGTTGTATTATGCACTCTTCAGAATGCTAAGATGTCGGACACATGCATCTTCTAAAATCTCTAACGTTCATTGCTTTTTGACACAACCTGTCCACTCATGTATGGTATATAAGTGCCTTGATCTTAATTTCACTAACCACGAGAATGTAGCAAGAAATTTATCGCGCAGTATTGTGACTTCGACCCAGACCTCGCTTCCGTGGAAGAAATCGTTATGTTCTAAGTTGTGTCATGCAAAATCCTTTGGTTATGATTCAAATACATATTTAACTACGAGTAGAAAGTAGTTTTGATTTTCTAACTTGATGAAAACAAACCATAATCTCATTAATTCTAACAGATTTTTTAGCCCGTCACTTTTCGATTTTCAAAATGGCGGCGCCCTGTCGCGAACATCGGCCAGTCTGAGGATAAATGCTATTTAGGTTTGTTTTCACCGAGGATACAAAAATCAAAACTACTTTCTACTAGTAGTAGAATTTAACATTTAATGTCACATCGGCAATATTGCAGCCATATCATGACTAAAGCAGGTCATACGTGAGTGAATGAGTTAGAATTTAACGTCACCTCGGCAATATTTCAATAGCATATAGTGACAGGTCATACGTTAACAATAGTTAATATTAAAGTAAAAACTCTGTCGACAAAGGACAGTAAAACAACTAGAATATCACACATTGAAATATTAAAACTAGCATTTAGTTAGAAATTATTTGACTTTTTGCGACAATACAATATGAAAACAGGTTATAATTATAGTATGACCAGAAATTATTGAGAATTTTAGGAATATGTTTAATTGGATTTCTAGTATAAACAACCTTGACCAGCCATTAAGTGCTTGGTTTCATTCAAGAGAGACAACTCCGTTCATCCTTTTCATTAGTTTGTGACTTGTTATCCCCTTTGTTTACTTGCTAGCAGACGACATTTCAGTGATTCTCAGTATTGATGATTTAGAGAGAGGAAGTTGATTTTGGAGGATAATAACAAGGACCTCAGATCAGCTAAAGTAGAACATAGAACAGGCATCCCTTTGTCAACTGTTTATTGCAAATGGATATGGCATTGAGCACCAGGAAGGCGCAGGTAGGCCCAGAAAATTGTTCTGTGTGGCTGTTTCCTAATACACTGAAATTCTGGACCAAACAAACTGAAAAACCTTTGTATCAGCGCCCAAAGTACAGTAAAAATTTAACGTGTGGGGTGGCATATCTGTGTTAGGGGCAACGCCCCTCTGTGTATTTAAAGGGAATATGAACAGTGAGCGGTACACAGATATTCTCGAGGGACATTTACTTCCATCTGCTCACGTGTTCTTTAGACATTTTTGGATTTTCCAGCAGGACAACGACTCAAACCATCGTTCAAAGCATTCACAGGCCTGGTTTTGGACCCAAAATATGACATTATTAGATTGGCCAAACTATAGCCCTGACCTAAATCCAATAAAAATGTTTGGGGACTTATGAAGGAAAGTGTCAATAAGAAAAATCTGACAAATATTGCTGAAATATAAAAGAAGAGGTGGTCCGATATTGGCACAGCATGGACCACGACTTTCTAACTTCTTTGATCAGTAGTATGCCCGCCGCATTGAAGCCTGCATTGATGCCTATGGTGACTTGACAAAATACTAACTGTTTACCTGTCTTTGAATCTGGAGTTATGTTCTGCTAATATTCACATTAAATGAGTAATGAGTGAAAAAAAAATTAAAATTACAATCTTTAAATTCTCCATAATTTCTGGTTGTACTGTAGATCGCCAACAACTAAAGGTACATCACCATACTAGGGACCATGCAGACTTACAGTACTTTTGCTACCTGCACGGACCCTAGCTGAATTTCTAGGAAAACGAGATTTATATCCACGCTAAAGGATAAAAACTGTATGCAATCGATATTTCGCCAATCAGATGATTCGGCTGCCTTGAGTATCAAATGAGTGCCACAACGCTCGCTGTTATGTAACACAACATGGACCTTTTTGCCTAACTGAAAGTTCAAATTATACACTATTCTGTATTTCCCGTTCAGATGACCGTGATCTATCCTTGTATCGCTACCATGCTCCCCACCACGTAAACCGCAGTGTGTAGTAGTAGCAATTTCTCCTCTGTCTTGTGTTAAACGTATAGGAACTGAGTTTGAAAACATTTTCAGAAGAATTATATTCTTCAAAAATAAATGCCCGAAGGTCCTTGATATGTTGAGAGTTGTCTCGAATACAAAGTTTGGAGATGATCAGTAAACCCTTCTCCAAATGTACCGAATACTTACACGCTCCAAACTGGATTATGGTTCCATCGTCTATGACGGAGCTTGTAAAAGCAACCTATCTATCCTAGATTCTATCCACCATCAAGGTCTGGGACTTTGTCTTGGATCCTCCCGAACTTCTCCCATTGACAGTCTTTACGTCGAGGCCGATGAGCCATCTTTAATACATCGCCGTCTCAAATTATCTTTGCAGTATGCAACAAAATATTATTGTAACGTGTCCAGCCCTGTCCAGCCCTGCCTCTGTGCTTTTTTAATCCTCTTTAAGATAATCTATATAAAAAGATATTCTCTTATCCCACCCCTTGGAATAAGAATAAAACCTTTCATTTCTGCTGCTAAAATTGAGCTAAATAATATATCTCCTTCCTCCTCCTTAACAACTAGTAAGTCCACAAGCCGATCTTGCATATGCTACTTATAAAAATCGGAAACAAATCAACTACAATACAAACAAGAATATGACCAATTACGAAGTAAATATAATACATGTATAAATCCTGATTTACAGATGGGTCCAAGGATGGAGGCGCAGTTGCTTGTGCCACTGTCATTGGATCCAGAACAATATCTTCTAGATTACCTGATAGCAGCTCCATTTTTAACAGCAGAGGCTATACTGCCATATTATCAGCTCTTAAATGTACCCAGAAACATTCTGAATATAAACAGTTCATAATATTTTCAGATTCTCTCTCCTGTCTTCAGGCTATATAAACGTGACTTCTTAAAATCCTCTTTTAATTGAAATTATTGAATTATTTAATGTTCTTGCTACTGGCCAATACAACATCGTCTTTTGCTGATTACCCAGTCATTTTGGAATCGTTGGCAACGCGATGGCTGATGCTGCACTTCTTATACCATACAGTGATTATAAACCTGTCGTTAGATGTTGCATACGGGATCTAATGCTGAAGAAGTGGGACACCCAAGTAGGTGTCAATGAACTACATGAAATTAAGCCAGCTATTAGTTACACCTCCACTAAATGCCAAAAGAAACGTTACCCTCCTTCCTTAATGATGGAGGTACCTATCTTCAGCTGGCGTTGTGATGCGTGGACGTCCACTACTTGGTCTGTCTACGGTGATATAACCGTATTACGGTGGCATCCTAGGGCGTTGGCAACAGCACTGTATGTCGACCCCATCTGCACCATCCCAATGGCTCTTTCTCTACCTTCAGCTGTTAATCTTGGCACATTTCTCGTACTTGTGTATCAGATCATGTCTTCTAGGTTCTCTTTATACCCTATAGAATCATTCAACATGTGAAATGGATGTAAATACTGCTTGAATATTGCGATTTGGTGATTGATATTGCTATGTGTAAACAGAAAATGGAAAAACGTAACTTTGCAAGCAAATATGTTAACAAAGATAATTTTAGATGTTTCTTAACATTTTTTCAGGCCTACCTTTAGAATACAGCACCACAAACTTTAAAAATACGTCATAATACCGTTTTACGTAATGTAATGTGATTTTGTTCGAAAGCACGATCTCGAAACAATGCCCTATGACGCCTGCATGGCAACACGGTTGTCTGGCTCAGCGAGTGCGTATAAGCTCCGCTCACTGGTGTTTCATCTCTACGAGCTATGTCATTGCATAAGCCCAACGATGTTGAGAGTTTCCAGTAGTTGTATACCGGCGGATGCGCAATATTTTGCAAGCACCAGTTTGAAATATTTTTCTTTTTTCACTAATACGCTCATATTTATTTGTATTACGGGCTGCTGAGTTGTTATGTGTTGTGTATTTTGTATTTTGTAATTTTTTTAATTTACATATATATTTTTGTCATTCAGTAATTTGCACCATTACATAGAAAAGTGTTTTATTAGTATTTTATTTTTCGAAGCGGTAATAATGCATTACACTAGACACGTCAGTCGTGTTTGTGCCGGTTCTGTCAATGCATTCTATTTATTAGGATTAATTCAAGGGATTAGGGCTAGGGCTAGGGCTAGGGCTAGGGCTAGGGCTAGGGCTAGGGTTTAGGGTTTAGGGTTTGGGTTTGGGTTTAGGGTTGGGGTTGGGGTTGGGGACCTAATGCAATATAGTAGGTACATGTCCGGTGGTTCCGTCAATGCATTCTATTTATTAGGATTATTTCAAGGGATTAGGGTTAGGGTTAGGGCTGAGGGTTAGGGTTAGGGACCTAATCCAATATAGTAGGTACATGTCCGGTGTAATACGTGAGTAGATCTACCATTTGTTGTTTTTCCTTTTTGCATTTTAATACTTTTTCTTCACACAAATCGGGAAACCTAAAACGTCGAAAGTACATTATGAAATGGGTTAATGTAGAAATTTTTGGGCTAATGGAAATTGGCCTGGAATTTGCACTGAAGCCTGTTTCACACGCAACATAAATTTTGTAAAGTAATGATGCGAAGGCTAACTCACCCTCGTGCCGTCACTACACATGCTCATGTCTCCCTCGTTCCTTAGTGCGATCCACATTATCCTTACAGTGTTCCCTACATCACTTTTCTGTCACAAAATCACCGATTTATATAATAGCGCGTCATTCATGCATACACCGTGAAATCTACGTCTGACGCCTGACGTCAACAACCCTTTTCAGTTTGAAGCATATCGGCTCATTCCACGCCACACGTTAATTTGTAGATTACGGAATGGGACGAGTGTGCCAAATGGCATCGGATCCATTCGGCAATTGTCCGTAGAATAAAATAACATGACACCAAGTCTACCCGTAGCATTCGTAATTGTCCGTGACCTATTCGACTCTTTCCGTTCATTTCCGTGACGTCACAGGAATGACTCGATAAATTTGCACATTGTGCAACAGTGTGGACGTAGCTCAGTCGGTTAGCTGTCGAGCTAACAATCCGAAGGTCGCGAGTTCGTGTCCGACGGGTTCTCACAAACTGGTTGCTTGTCTTAATGACACGTGACCTACGGCAGAGATCGTCCTCACGAGAAGTTGTGGTGCTGTATTCTAAAGGTGCTCCAATTTCACAATATCAAAGACACGTTTTACTTGTTTTCACTCATGCAAATCAGCAGAAAATGTTTCTAAAGATGCTCCAATCATAGCAATGATTAGTTTACAATTCTACACACTCAACAACAGTTGTTTCTTGCTTTAATATAGTTGAAAAATGGTGACTTTAAATGGTTTATCATTGTCCCAAAGCAGAATTTTATTTCAACCTTTCTTTTGGACATCAAAATCACTATTATTTTTTTTTGTCGGCATGGACGAATATAGGACAATATAACTCTTCTGAAAAAGATGCATTTCACCAAAATATGAATGCATTTGAGAATTTGTTTTCGTGATTTGCATAAAGCTGTGTTGTTAAGCTTTCTTGTAAACTATAACCTTTTAAAATATCTTTAATAGTTGTTCAGTAATTCATAAAGGTAGAAGGGTAACGTTTCTTTTAAGCGTCTAGTGTACTTGGGTTCTCAGTCCAGATTTGAGGTAGTAATTGTACGACGATGTCATATTGGCCATTCAAGATATACACATGAATATTAATTTTGTTTTACAGGTGAAAATCTACCATTTTGTATTCCTGTGATGAACGAATCACGGTCAAGCATGTCCTGTTTGACTGTATTGATATTTCCATTACAAGGGATATTTATTTAAAAGCTTCATCCACGAAGGATATTTTAAATAACGTTAGTTTTAATTTAATTGTTAATTTTAAAAGCAAATAGAATTGATTGACAAATTTTGATTGATTTGTTTTGTACATAGATATATCTTATTATAAATTGGTGAATTAAATTTGCAAATTATATCGTTAGTGGTTTTGAATCCTCGAAGTTGGTTGAAGTACCGTAAAATTATTGTCCTCCTGAGAGGGTATGTAAGACCACAACCTTCAAAGTAAATTTAAGGATTCAAGGTTTCTAATCGTAGAATATATGTAATTTTTATTCATGGATAGCTTTGTCCATAATCGCTTACATCTGAGGGATGGTGTAAATCCAGCTAGGGCCCATACAGATAGCAAATGTACTGTGAATCCCAATGGGCTCTTATATAGGCTGATCTTCTTCCAGTTGCTGGCGATGTATACCCCGTTTTTATAATGTGTCGTTTAAAAACAAATATTTCTAAACTGCTAGTTTTAATCTAAAGCTGTGATATTCTAGATATTTTACTGTCCTATGTTGACAGGTTGTCGTACCGTTAAAGATTGATTTTATCTAATTTGTTTCATTGTTATGATGTGGATGAAATATTACTGATGAGACTTTAAATGTTAACTCACTCATTTACTCATCACGATATAAATACAATATTGCCGATGCTATGTAAAATGTAACTCACTTAAATATAATACATAGAATACTTTTTTCTAAGCACACATTTTAAATGTATCTCGCAAATGTCGTGAACGTTCTTACTCGACTGAGCAATGCTGTTTTGGTTTGGTTTTAGACAACAATGGAAGGATTAAGAGCATGGTTCGGACGTGGATTAGATCAGGATTATGTCGACTCCATCAACAGCTTCTGGACAGTCCTTCTATTGGCCGTGTGTTCTGTGGGATCATTCGCCATGCGTTTCATCACTACACCCATCAGTTGTTGGTGCCCTGCTCAATTCGAACAGTCTCAGTACTCGTACACACAGGAATCGTGTTTTCTGAAGGGCTTGTATTATACGAAGTCAATGCCTGATGATTATGACGACGCAAAACCGGAACCTGTACCCTCCTACCACCTCTGGATACCACTCATACTCTTCTTCCAGGCCCTCGCTTTCAAACTACCAAACATCATCTGAAACAGCAGCAAGCACTTGCTTACTTTCAATATGGAAGAAACCGTGGAGTCACTGAAAAGTGTTCAACTGACCAATGCTGATAATAGTCAGGCCATGTTCAGTATTTGGGAGTCTGTTGAGAAGAAATCGAATCCTTCTGGCTCTTCTGTACCTGATTGTGAAGCTTCTCTCCTCTGTCAATCTGATAGTACAGTTTGTATTCCTAACAATACACTTCAGACAATACCTGGCAATCAGGGTTGGGTCCTATATTGGTTTTGATATGGACTCCATCATGAATCCATTGCTTGTAAAAGATGGTTATTGCGATTTTTATATATACCAGGTGCAGAATTCTCACAGGTATAGAATTCAGTGCACCTTGCCAATCACCGAAATCTATGAGAAGATGTTCGCATTCTTATGGTACTGGATCTTCCTCCTGGCTCTCATCACCATCCTTAACCTTGTCCTGTGGGCAGGATTTCTCTTCCTTCCATTCCTAAGAAATGGCAGGATAGCTGCCCATGTCAACGCTGCCAAAGGATCTCGCCCTGATGAACACTCTATAACTCGATTCATCAGCAATTTCCTGGGAATTGATGGAGTACTTGTCTTGTCCATGATCTCCTTGAATTCCAGCGAGCTGGTTTCAGCGGAGCTCACCCAACATTTGTACCAAGTGTTTCGGGAAAAGGAAGAGGAATTTAATGCTCAGCGAAATCTCTACACAGGAGAACTGGGAAGAGGTGCTGTCGTACCTGCAGCATCAGGAACTAATGCAACTATACCAATGACTGACCTCGCCTCTGGTGACCCAAACTTGGAGAAAGTGCCAATGCTGTAATGACAGAACTGTCACCAAGCACTGGATTTGCTTAATCCAGAAGTGGCTTATTTTCACTAATTGCTAACTTGTTTGATGGTATGTCCTTGTTTTTCCCCACATAGTTGACGTTCTCGCCAGCAAGATGTCAAAACGTTGATATTATTGTAACAACAATTCATTACCATTTTGTCATTTTTATATCATTTCGGGAACATTGTCAGTCAAAACATTAGTTATACTGCCAAATTACTGTATATTCCTGTATTAGCATTTTAGCTGTCTTTTATATTTCAGGAGTCCGAACTAGAATGCGTAGTTGTAAATGTGAATAATATACACGTGCTGGTGGTGTCACAATTAATCAGTCTTTAGTGCAAGTGTATGAACGTTGTAGTGGTCGGGGCAGGCCTTAAGCATAGGTATGTTTCTAAGTAATCACACAAGCTCACACGTGTTTCGATACATTTATGGGTGAATATTTTACCAAAAGAACATCAGGGTTCTGTAAATGTGGACCCATATATATATACATAGTCATCACCTATCTAATTTAAACTGGAAGTATTCTTAAATATACGGAGACAAGCTCTGTAATGAGGTTCAAAGGTTTCAATCAACAATGCAAAGTACACTTGCTGTACTAAGTAAGGAGTGGATAATGGTAATCATCAAGACATATCTCTGATTAGATAACGTTGATTTATCATTTGCATCCCTAAGTATCCATACAGAACATATGTTCTGGACATGTTCTAGACATGCATGTTTTGAACTGGTTATATTTATTTCTGGGTTTGTATGGCACACAAATAAACCGATAAGCGATATCGAGGGGTATCTTGTGTTGTATACCTGGTGTGTGAACCTATGTACCCTGTGTTTGAGTCTATGTACCTCGTGCCACACTGTATACCAAGAGGTATCGGATGACATCCAATTTATCTTACAGGCATGCGTTCATACAAATCTGCAATATATGTCTTCAGTTTCACCAAGTTCGCCTTTTTATGCACACTATCCAAGACAATTGACTGTATGGAATACATTAGTTCCTTAGAGAAACCCCAAGGTTCTTATACGGTAGACATTTCGAGATTCCTCCTCGAGATTAGCAGATTACCCAAAATGTGTTTCGACTAATTTCATTTCAAATTTGTACTTCATTTGGAACGGGCAGCATGAAAGTTAGTTGTCCGCTTTTACGCACCAGACGCTGATTTTGTAATACAAAATTATAATGTATTCATTATTAAAAACAAAACAAAAACAGGAAATAACATGCGAGCTTTGAGTCAGCAACAATTATTCAGCAACAATGATAAAGATCTCTGGAATGCATTTCCCTGCATAAATGATCCATATTACGGGAAACCGGAGAGGTCGAAGTTCTCCTGTCCTGAAATGTCAGTTCTGATAATTTGCTACAATTACCGCTCCTACAAATACATTAATTGGACGTAATAAGGTGTCCTCCCATTTGTGAGAACTCCAAGTTGTGAGACACATTGATTAATGGTTCCACATCCCTACAATGAAAGTGGGATCAGCCCAGCCCACTACCCACAGGAGGCATAGTTCATTGATGAGTTGATTAATGAAATAGATTATCAAAGATTATATTTACACAGAAGAAATAGATCAGTGAATATTTTATTTATTCAGAAGAATATGTAATTATGATAACACATATTTATTGACTGGTATGAAGTTTGAAAGTCATTTTGGTTTAAACATATTTTATTATTATTTATGAAAATGAATTGGGATTGGTGAAGTATTACTGCTTATGGTAACACCGCTCCCATGCAACATAAAATATAAAATGAAATGGAGGATGTGACGTCATCGATATTGACTATTGGATAAATATGTTTTTAAGTACATATAAATATATACAGATTACATCAAATACAACTATTCTCTAAGTAGTCATAATTAGAGACTTACAGTTGTGTGTGTCTAACAAGCTACTGTAGGAATATAAATCAATCACAAGAAGGTTGTTGAGTTAATTTCAGGATTTCCCTGTAAAAAATTTGAAGGTTGTGTTTTGATGATATAATCGTGGACGGATTCAACTATTTTCTGGTTTACACAAGGAGGAAATTCTTTGTTTCCGTTCAAAAAATTATCCAGGTTATAACGGGTAGTTGATATCCACAAGAACAACATGGACTGTCTATTGAATGTCTGTTATACATATCGGCGATTGGGTCGCTAGATCCGAGCCTGAGGCGGCACTGAACGATTTGACAAAAACAAGAGCCATAATTAAGATCAATATAAATCTTGTTTTCGGTTTTTGTAATTAGGTTTTAAAATTCTTTGAGACTGCATGACTCTTTGCAATTTGGTAGGGCATTCCATAAATTTATTGTGTCGGGTAGAGGGGTTTGGCATAAGGGGCATTTCGACTGTAAATTTCAGAGTTATTTCAGAGTTACTTCTTAAACTATAGCTTGTAGTTTCGGAGACGGAGTAAATCTGAGTAGGTAAATTAATTTCTCTTTGATCACAAAGTGTTTAATTATTAAAGACATTTACCTGAGTACGTTAATCAATTTATCTTATAAAGTTTCATTAAGTTACCTCCACAAGAGTCAGTTACATAGCAAATCAGTAATTAGCTAGGTTTAATCCATTCCATCAGACAGGGGAGTATGGTGCGTTTTCGTTGTTAAATACCGACTCCAGTGTCTCATAACTGGGAGTCTCACAACTGGGAGTTCTCACAAATGGGAGTAGACAACGTAATAATGTTTGCATAGAGAGATATCGAAAAATATCGAAAATATTTCATCTTTGTGATGTTCTTGTTTGAAACGCGGTGTTCTTTACGAATGCAACTCTTCATCACTGACATTATTACAAGATAATATATATTGAACATGAGTTGAACTTGTTTTCGTAGTTTCAAATGTGAATGGTCGACTCACAATTTCTTAAGTGTACTTTGTTGATGCTCTCAACGCATTGTGTTTGTGTCACAATTAATCGTTTTTTATTGCCACATAATGAACGTTGTAGTGGCCGGGACATGTCTGTTTCATACTTATCACTGAAGCTCACAAATGGACTCCTGAAATTTAAATATATATAGTTAAGATGCTGAACCACAATTCATAATCTGAAGTTTGATATTTACCGTACTTTCCGGAGGGAAGTATGTATACTAGCCCATGTCAGCCTAAAGGCGAGAATTTATGAATGTCAGTTTCTATATTTTCAGGAACAACTGCCTAACTTGGGACTTATTCATTTAACATCAGTACTGGGTCCCATGTCATCGCGCTCATTGATTATCACCTACAGGACCATTTATCCCTGAATTAATTCCTGGCTTCGGTTGCTAATTGTCATTACCTATCAGCGCCAATTAACACCTGGCTTCCCTTGTTTTTATCTTGTTACTGTTGTTCTTTCACCTGTACCCATGTAGCTACCTGTTTGCTAGTTTTTCCATTCACCTTATAACAGAGTAAGAATATATTCCGAAACGCCATGTTCCTCAAAATAGGAAGTTGACGTAAATAAATTTTCACCTTTAAATGTAGGACTTCTAAATGCTGTTCAGAGACGTTTTATCAGCCTAGCTTTCATCATGGGCATTTCAAGCCTAAGAAAATATGAGAGAATTAGGCTGATTCGATAGTTTAATCAGTGAACATTTTACAGAATGTTCTTCCGGGTTCCGGAAAGGTAGTTTCTGCTATATCCACATTCATTACGTATTGACTTTGAACTGGAATTATTCCCAGCAATAAACAAAGACAAACATTTGTAATGAGATTCAAAGACTTAAATTAACAATCCACTCTACATATGTATTTAGTGAAGTATAACAGGAGGGGACTATAGGAATGATCAAGACATATCTTCTGATTAAATAATGTTGATTTATCATTTATGTGCCTAAGTTTTCATACAGAACGTACCATGTTAATGTTGAGTAGCAAACATTGTCCATTTGGGCAGATCGATTCATATCCTACGATACAACAACGCCGAGATGTTCCTTAGTATTCGAAATGATAAAGAGAAGCATCATGGTAGACCAAATTAGGTTCTTATACCTGGAACGTCGTGCCTTCATACATTATATGATATTTAGCCAGGTTCACTAGTTGTAAGTCAAGTCTCTGAAATGAACGTTTTTACAGAAAAAGAAACCTAATTTATCTTCATAATACATTGCAAAAAGGAGCTCGGGGAACGGGCTGCATGGAAAATACATGCCCGCTCCTTTACCGATCAGACGCTAATGTTTTAATAGAGGGTAACATGGCTCTCATTTTTACAAAAGCAGAATATAGCATGACAACTTTAAGTCAGACATGTTGTTGTTAAAGATCACTCGATTCCATTTTCCCAACATAACGGTCCGTGTTAGAGAAACCAGGGAGGTCAAGAGTACTCCTGTCCTGAAATGTCAGTTCTGACAGTTTGCTACAATTATCGTTCTTACGAAGAGATTAATTGGACGTAGTAATGTTCGCATGGCGAGACCAAACCCCTTGACTCACGTTCTGAAGCCAATCCTAACAACTATAAGGCGACAGAGCGTTGAATATCGCCAGTACTGTTGACGTCTGTAGTTGGATGTGAAGCAAACCGTCTGTACTGTTACCCTGGGAGAAGACTCAAAACAGGCTAATTTCACACACCCACCTCAGGAACAGGACCCCTTCACTTCATCATTGTAAGTATAGGTGTTGTAATGCTGCGTTATTTCGACTTAATCGTGTAGACTTGCTTCCACAGCGGATGACACAATAGGACATATATTACTTAACAACTGTTGGTTGAATAGTCCTCCTCTCTGGGGATACGTAAGTACTTAAACATTCAAGGTAAAATAAACTTACCGAATTTTTAAAACGCAGTATTTTTGTGTTTTAAGACATGGCTAAGTTTAACTACAATCACTAACGGCTGAGGGGATGATATAAATCCGTCTAGGGTCCATGCAGGTAGCAAAGGCAAAGCAAAGGTAGCAAAGTCCCCATGGTCTCTAGTAT